AGCTGTGAAGAGGAGTAAGTAACACAGCTGTGAAGAGGGGTAACACCACTGTGAAGAGGGGTGACACGGCTCTGAAGAGGGGTGACACAGCTCTGAAGAGGGGTGACACGGCTCTGAAGAGGGGTGACATGGCTCTGAAGAGGGGTGACACGGCTCTGAAGACGGGTGACACAGCTGTGAAGAGGAGTAACACTCAGAGACGGACAGCGTCGGACAGAGTGCCCAGAATGCTGTCTGGCACGTATGAAGCCCACTGACACTGACACTGCGGGTGAACACCGATGTCTGGTTAACAACCTGCAGGAGTCTCTGTTTCTAACACACAGAGAATCTGTGCACGTCGGCGTGGCCTTACCCCGGAAGGAGAGACTGTGGCGCAGGCGCGGGGCCACTGAGGGCACACAGGCCGATGCTGCTGATGCCACTGCTGCCCACGCTGCCGGAGCTCTGGGCTGACTGGGCACTCCGATCCTGGTAGCTCAGGGGAAGGGTCTGAGGCCTGGCATAGTAGTAAGGGGTTGAGTGGGCATCTCTGGGTAAGGCCTGAGCAAATAACGTAGCATAGCTAGAAACCTGAAAAGAGAAACACACTAAGAGCAGAGACAGAAAATTACAGAACAGTCTTCCCAAACCTAAAAAGGTCATTTATATTCAGATTTTCCTTCTATTTCTGTAAATGGATTTGGATTCTATACTTCATTAACAATAAATTAGATGTTATGCTTTTGAAATATGCCTAAACTGATCAAGTTTTAGAAAATTTTCTGAACTCCAACAACTACTACATTGTCTGATAACTAAACACTCATGCTGATTCAAGCAAACTGAAACTTAGATATTTTTTAAAGTTAGGCATTATTAAATAATGATTACTTCTATATATTCATATTTATATGCTTTACATGTATATTAATATATAATGATTGCTCAGACGAAGCCTTTAGCAATAGACAGAACTCTTTCACCCACACGCTTCACCCTCTTTGCACTCCCACGTCTCTGGTGGGTACTTTATTACAGCAGACTCCAGGGCACAGAGCACCAGAATCACTCTGACATACTGCAGGGCAGACACTCAGCCCGGTGATGACAGGGTTTCACTGGCACAAAAGTAAAGAACGCTCACAACTGAGAGCATGAAAAACTCCTAAAGAATTGCCAATCGGTGCCAATATCAGTAACTTCACAAAGTAAACATCTTGAAAACTGACCGTTTATTCTCTATTTAATCACCCATTGTTGTCTGAATAACAAAATTCTGAAAAACATCTTCAAGAAACTGCACACTGACTAAAAACGCACTTAAAAAGAAAAAGTCAAAGAAATCTCTTGACCTTCCACGACCAGACAAGCTTGTTGCTTTCCTAGCATGATTTTCTTAGCTGCAGAAGCCGTTTCCTATCAAAGTCTGCCGGGGTGTCCCGACAGACCCGAAAACGCGAAGGCAAAGCCGCTTACCTTGCTTGGCGGCCTGCGTGGGTCCTCACTGAGGCTCAGCAAGAGGTAGAGTATTGACCATTTATTTTTCAAAACTCCCTGTTTGGAAAAAAGTTAACATTAAAGGAACGATTTTTTTTTTTTTTTTATTTTTTTTTTTTTTTTGTAATGTTAGTAGAGACGGGGTTTCACCATGTTAGCCAGGATGGTCTCGATCTTCTGACCTCAGGTGATCCTCGGCCTCCCAAAGTGCTGGGATTACAGGCGTGAGCCACCGCGCCCAGCCAGGAACTCTCCAGTCTTATTTTCCTCTTTCCTGAACTGTATTTCAAAACTAGAAATGCATTTCAAAATTCACATAGTGACATCAAATCTAACAGTTCATAAGTATTTTCAACAGTGCCACCCATCCGGAGGCGGAAGCAAATGTCCTCATGCAACCAACACCCTTGGGTCTTTCGCTCCCCTATTAACTAGCTCTAAAGTCCCCAATAAGAAAAGTTTTTTAAGTTACCCTATTGCTGAATAACAGTATCATCTCCCCTGAAATAATTCTTACAATGTCCCCAAAACCATAATTATGAGACAAAGCCATCATAAAAATATGTGAATTATTTTTTCCTTTATCAACATCCCATTTAAGCCCCAAGCAGAAGTTAGTCTCAGCATCATGTGTACCTAAAGTCAAGATGTAGGTCTGGGCCGGGAACAGGGGCTCACGCCTGTAATCCAAGGACTTTGGGAGGCCAAAGCAGGAGGACCACTTGAGGTCAGGAGCTCGAGACCAGCCTGGCCGACATGGCGAAACCCCATCTCTACTAAAAATACAAAATGAGCCAGGTGTAGTATCATGCATCTGTACTCCCAGCTACTTCGGAGGCTGAGACACAAGAATCGCTTGAACCTGGGAAGCAGAGGTTGCAGTGACCTGAGATCACACCACTGCACTCCAGCCTGGGAGACAGAGCAAGACTCTGTCTCCAAAAAAAAAAAAAATGTGGGTCTGAAGCACTTAGTTGTCAAGATAACTAACCCACAGGTTTCTATGCAAGGGTCATCACACAGATTTCATTAATTTCCAAGTGTGTATCACACCAGTCTGATTCACAAACATAACAGCAGCCAAACCTCAGTATACTCTATTCATACAGCCTTACCTTTTGCATGCACAGGCTACAATATGTAAGTACCTTTATTTACAAAACAAATGATGGGATGATTGCTTATATTATGTAAACTCTCCATTACATAACACATTCTCTGAAAGTTTCTTTTAAAAGTAAGCTCATCCCAGGTATTTAAATTACTGTCTAACTTCAGAAAATTGGTTGACATAGGCTTTTTCAGAAACTCAACTAACTCCCCAGCCAGGGCCACAAGGATAAGAAACAGACCCAGCCCTGATGGAGCGTGTCTCACCACAGGCAACAGACAAGTGGGCAGATGCAATGTGTCAAATGGCACTTCACAGCTCACAAAAGGGCTCCCGGAGGAGACTCAAGTCCCCTAGAAAGATGGACCGTGCAGAGGGACAGACAGGAGAACACAGCAACCTGACAAAGGCCAGGAGTCAGGAGGGAAGCTGACATCGGAATGAGGCCTCCACGCTGCACCAAGAAACTTGGATTTGGAGGTAAAGACAACAGCAGGAAAACTGCGAAGGACGTCCCGGGGAGAGGCACCATCACCACACAAGTGACGAACTGGCTGGAGGGGACAACATGAGAGGAAGACTGCTGTCATCTGGAGGGAGATGCAAGCAGCTGAATGCAATACAGTGAGCCGAATGTGTGCTCAGGCACACGTCCCTGGCGAGTCCCTGCAAGCCGGCATCAGGGGCCCGTGAGGCTCAGGCACTCAGGCCCAGGACCAAGGAGCCAAGCGGCCGCCAACATTTAGCTCTTTCCACGCATTAAATCCTGTCATCGTCACAACCACACTATGACAGGGCTTACTCTCTTCATGCCACAAATGAGAGAATGAAGGACAGCAAACATGAATAACTCACCCAAATCACAAAGCCACATGCAGGGTTCACCCCCAGGTCTGTCCACCTCCAAACGAGAGGTATAGCTGGGGAGTCAAGATGACACCCAGGTTCTCATGGGGGCAAGATCAACGGTGCTGTCATTCACCAAAACAGAGAACACAGAAGAAAGAGCATGCAGCATGCAGGTGGATGTGAATGGATGCCCAGAAGGGTGGAATAAGACGCAACGCTCCCTTCAGCTCAGAGGATGCCAAGTTGTGAGAACCTGTGGGAGTTTTCAGGGAGTCTCTGAGTGAAATGACCAGTAGGTGAAGGGAAAGACGGCAGGAAATGTTCTACCTTTGCACTAAGGAACTGCTAGGTTAAAAATCTCAGATTTTATTTTAGCAAAGATGTATTTGAGGGTGAAGGGTGGAGAAATCTCAAAAATGAACAAAATTACGCACCAAAAACCTAGTAAGTGACATAAAGGAGGAGGCAGTATTTTTTAACTATAAAAAAAGCAAGTATAAAACACCGAGGATCTCTTCAGTCTGCTGAAGACCATGTGATACGAAGGTGTGGACGGAAACCACAGGAGACGGTGAGGCAGTCTGGGAACACCACCAGCCAGGACCCACT